TATATATATATATATCGTCACAAACAGAATTGCCCGGTAAACCGTAGGCAGAGAGAGAGAAGAGGACAACAAACGAGGGGCTGTGACAAACTGTTTCGTCGGAGTTTCACCAACTCATCAGGAGGCTGAACCCTATATATATATATATCGCCATATATCGTCAAATAGAACTGCCCGGTAAACCGTAGGCAGAGAGGGAGAAGAGGACCCCATATATATATATATATCGTCACAAACAGAACTGCCCGGTAAACCGTAGGCAGAGAGAGAGAAGAGGACAACAAACGAGGGGCTGTGACAAACTGTTTCGTCGGAGTTTCACCGATGTATATATATATCATCACATGGATATGAGAGCGCAAAAGCGAAAAGAAAAAAGAAAAAAGAATGAATTCGTTTTTTTATATCTTCTTCCTTACAACTCCCCCTGTTCAGAACCTCTTGCGTACAAGGCCGCCCACGTGGATGTAGGTTGAGCGGCGGCTGCCCCCACCCCCGTGTGTCATATCGACCCACTTGCACACAGCCAAAAGGCGAAGAGGCAAAGAAAAGAGGAAGGGAACAGCCAAATAAAACAGAACAGGGGGCAACAAAAGAGAGATGCCAAAACATTCTTGTCTGCAAAAAAAATCAAAAAAAGCTCCGATCCCAGTGTGACAACCAAAAGGAAAGAAAAGACAATCCCGGATGACTATTCCCACATACACGCACCGCCCCGCGCTCAAAAGGCCGAACGACGGGAAACAACCAACCAGGATGCCCAATAACAAAATCGAAGCAGACAAGATTAAAACAAATCCTAAATGACAATCCTAGATGACGAGTCCCACATGCAAACACCGCCCCCGGCAACTACAGGCCAAACGACGGGACAAGACCAACCAGGATGTCAAAACACACTTGCCTGCAAAACGATAACCAGATGACCAATCCCACATGAAGCATTATGTATATATATATTGTCACACTGTGAATCAGAGCGCAGAAGCGAAAAAAAGGAAGAAAAAAAGAAGAGAAAAGAAAAAAGGGGGAGAAGAAGAGGTAAGGAAAGCTCCACCTGTTCATAACCTCTTACGTACAAGGCCAGCCACGTGGATGACAGGTTGAGCGCTGGCTGCCCCCATCCCCGTGTGTCATAAAGACCCACTTGCACGCAGCCAAAAGGCAAAGAGGTAAAGAAAAGGCGGAGGAAACCAAACCTCACAGAAGAAGAAAGCCTATTAAACAGACGAAGCAAGTACACATCCCACAGATAATCCAATTACCATCCCACAGAACATATTTTTCTTTTTTCTTTTTTCTTTTTTCTTTTTTCTTTTTTCTTTTTTCTTTTTTCTCAGGTTTCTTTTTTTGTGTTTTTCTTTCCTCGGTTTATGTATACATATATGTATAATATTTGTATATATAGAGAGAGAGAGATCATACCATGTAAGGATATGTGAAGAGAGCAGCAATAAGCTTCGAGCCGGCACCTAAGACCGCATAATCAGTTGAAGTCTGAAGGAATAAACAATGAGGGAGAGGTGATAGCAGAACAGAAGATAGCATGAGAACATTGCGCACATGTTAGTCCAAAAGCACTGTGCAGTGTGCAGTTGTCGAAAACTGTAGACCGCTTCCCGTGATAATATTGCTCTTCTCAACATCACTTAAAACTCTAAACAACAGAGACAGGACTAGCATGCCACTGTGCAAGCATAACATGAACAAATTGTGAGACGTTCCAAATTAATAAAAAACACTGCCCACTCCCCTCTCCCTGCGCCACTCCCCTCTCCCTGCGCCACTCCACTCTCCCCCACCTGCAGACACACCCAACCACACATAGGAGCCATACAAAAACAAGTCCAATGCTTGATTTAACGCGTTTGTGTGCTAGTCTGTAACATTTGGCGTCTTTCTGAGCACATAGTAAAGTACAGTCATCATGGCAGGAAGTGATTGTGCGGCCCTAACTAGTCGTAAGTCCTTTTCACGGTGCCAACGTGTACCATCGGGCATGGTCATGTTCCTTCTTCACTTTTCTACTTTCTACTTATTCCTATCCTTTAATTCTATTTATACCCCATTTGCATACAATTGTGTCATGAATGCATACGACACACGTGGTTAACCAGGGGTGTTATTTTCGACGAATTTTGCACCGAATTGCACTGAAACTGTCATATTGTGCTGATGTTTTGCTTTTTCTCTGGTTTTTCTTTTTGTGTGATATATATGTGCTTTAGGGTACATCATGTGTGCAGTTTTGACATGTTTGGATCAATAATGAAAAAGTTGGCATTTTGTTGAATTCGTTGGACGCTTCATTTTGACTCGGACAGTGTCTTTGTGTTAGGGTTTCATAGTGTTTTTTTTGTTTTTTTTTTCGTTTTTTTTGGCCTGTTTCCTTTTTTGATGTTTGCACTATGGTCTCATATCGTTTGTTTTTAAAATTTTTGATGAAATTCGCACCGCAATTGCCAACGAAAACGGCGAATATTTGGGCCCCCGTTAACCGTCTCTCG